TATATATTTAAGAATTCAGGTAAGTCATAATTAAGTGACAAACCAAATTATAAAAGAATAATACAGTAATTAATTGATTTGGGTCGGGCCTATATAACCCGCTGATGATTTGGGTCAGGGTTTGTGAACTAGCAAGTAAATTGAATAAATAACAACAAAAACAATTTTAATAGTCTTTAATATATATATATATATATATATATATATATATATATATATATATATATATATATATTAGTTCAGGGTAATATTGTGATGTTTTAAGTTTTAATCATGTTTTTAGTTCTTGAAATTAGGTTAAATAATTTTTATTTTTTAAATTAAAAATATTTAATAACTTAAATTTAGTAAAAATATTATTTTAGTCCCTAAACATTAAATTCAAATGAATAAAAATAATAATTTTTATTTTCCAAAATTACTTTTTAAAGATTAAAATTATATTTTATTTCAATTTTAAGGGATAAAAATAAATTATTTTAATTTATAGAATTAAAATAAAAAAAATCAAATTTTAAAGATTAAAACCATTATTAAGTTTTATATATATATATATATATATATATATATATATATATATATATATAGAGAGAGAGAGAGAGAGAGAGAGAGAGAGAGATTTAGAAAGTTTTATATCACCCCTAATCTAATAAAAGATTTTTCAGACATTTTGTAATAAATTATTTATGTGTTTTTCAATTTCAGAAGAAAAATCAGCTCCCACCACATTACATGATTTTTTTTTCCACTATATGTATCTCTTTTTTGTTTTTGTTTTTTACATATTAATAATAGGATGTTTGTGTGATAGCTTAGGATAAGTTAAATCTACTCTTTATCCAACTCAAATTTCGATTTGATGAATGCTAAGTTCATTTATTTTTCAACAAGCAAGGCCTTTCAAGTAAATTTCTGGGAAAAAAAATGAAACACAATTATTATTCTTTTATTTGATTAAGATATATACAAATTAATTAAATATTTGAGTACAGAGGGATTTCCTATTTCATATTTACTACATTTTTCTCAAGTTTATATGAAAATATAGTTTAAAACGTAAAAGGATTTAAAAATAAAAAGTTAGTATTTGTGTAAATAGGTGTAATTATTGGGTAATTGTTTAGTTTTCATCTTTGTTTTTCCTTAGACAAGACTTGTGTATCTTCCTTTGAAATATTAATTTCAAATATATTCAATATACCATTTTTCCTTTTTCTTGGTATGAAGATACTCAATAAACATTAACATGGTATGATTTTCAGTAGTTAAATATATTTAGATGATGAATTTTTTTTGTCTAACAACCATTGAATCAAGATTATTTGAATTACATGTAACAAGATTAAGTAATAGTGACATGACTCAGTCTTAAAGTTAATTATGATCTAAATCAAGATGGCTAATGTGAAAACCTCTCATCAATAAATTTGTTGGAAATTAAAAATGTTATTAATTCTCTTGCAGTTGTTGGTGTTGTAATATATAAGGAAAAATTACAAAGTGTTGAGATCCCTTTGATTCATGCTAACACAGCTTGTGGCTAATAGGGATTATTATAATATTCTATTTTAATCATATGATGAATATTTCTGATAAATTTTATTTTTGCTTGTTTAATGAGGACTAATATTAGTGAAATTCAGCGTAATAATTGAGAAGATGGTTCACTGATTGTTGTTTCCCCTATCTTGAGGGGATAAGATAAGAGCAATTACTTTTGGGTATGATTGGAGGTAAAAACTTGGAACATGGTGTGTTTCTATGTTTTAGTGTTACACCCGTACTTAATAATCTTGATGTGAAGGATGACCACTGCACGTAGTTAATGAATTCATCATCATAGGTTATAGGGAAGGTGCACTCATGCATGGTGTGAAGGTAAGAACCACAGTTGTGCCCGAAATTTTGGTGAAAAGTGTAAAAGGAAATTAAGAAAAGTAAAGAGGAAAAGGAAAAAGGACATGAAGACAATGAGGTGCTTCCTGGATGGTATATGTTAGACGCCATCTTATTCTATCACTAAGATTAGACTAAAGATAAAGCTTGTGGAACCAGAACGATGTCAGTCCCTTTTGTCAAAATCTTCATATGCAAAATCCCTTTCTGCCAATTTATTCTTGCTTCACATGTGATTTCATGCCCAAAAATTCGTTTGCCTATACCAACTCCATGTTGGAGCAGTTTCTTCATGCAGTGCTATGAAGATTCTTTAAACATGAAAAAAATATCTGTGTAAGCTTTAATACTACTGAAGATGTTGATCAATTAATGCTAGAATGTTTCAATTTAGTAGTCTACAACAGTCATATCTAGATGCTATAAAAGAGTGTTATCTGGATTGAAATTATTATTACAGAATATTGATATTGTTTTTGTTTTCTAGCTAGTTAGGGAGGGAGGGAGAGAGAATATGCTTTTTGGTGGATATACATGATTGGCATTGACTAGTTTGTCCAAACCTATTTGGAAAGTTCACTTGTTCTGTCCCACAAATTGGATTCTACTACACCTTCCCAAAACCATAACCAAAACCAGTATGTGTCCATGTTAGCCTCTTCTAGTTTCCCTCTAGGACATACACTAACAGTTATTCACTGTCTCTTTCACCCTTTTCTTTCCCACATCTTTTAACTAATGGACACAACTAATGGATGTAGGTTTTGCCAATCGAGGCATGATGCTGCATTAGCAAAGAAATGATTCACGTTTTGGAAACAACACCTGTGATATGTTTTGGTCACTTCGTGGCCTCAATTCGGCAATATATGCACACTTTGTTTGAGAAGTCACTTTCATTCATTTTTTTCTTTTTACAATTTCCTTTCTCCTATAGCAAGTTCATGGAGTGTTATCACTTGCCAAGTGAAAAACCTTGACAAAAATTGAAGACTATATACAAAATAATCACCAACATAATGACAGTGATTGTTCCACTCACTGTACGTACAATGGGACCTTCTGTCACAAGTTAACAAGTTCATATGAACTAACTTTAACTTGTTTTAAATTATGAGCGTTCAAAATTATTTTGGTTCTCATATGAAAACAAACAACACTAGTTAATATAATATTGCTGGCAACAAAGACAAAAGATCACAAATAACAAGCACCATTCTTCAGACCATAGCTTAGAAGCCCTCCGAGATGCTTTTGAATTTACTTGCATATCCAAAACCTTCTAACTTGTCTTCTTGTATGAGTTAACGCTAAAATAATCATCCTTCTTATGTTAAAATAATTATTTGACTGTCTACACATCAAACACAGCTAAATCATTAGAAAATTTTTCTGTAAAACAACAATTTTACTATTTAAGCTAGTTCACCTAACCTTATCTTGTGTTTATAAATGGGTTTTTCAAGGAGAATCTCAGTTCTATAGAACAATGAGAACTTATATCCATGCAATAGGGATGCTATGTAGTTTGTACTTGTGTAATCCTATTCCTTAATTAACGAAGCTGCTGTACTTGTTTTTCGATTATTACACGGATCAATGAAGCATGTCTGTCAGATTAATTTGAAAATTTACCCATCACTTTATCTAAAACCATATACTACACTACACATTTCTCTAGTTATATTGGTGTTTCCTGCCATTGAAAATAGTCCCTCTGACATATATCAATTTCGATAATAAGATAAAATAGAAGTTTCATTTGTTTATTTGTTGGGACATGAAATGAAATTTCCACTCTGCAGTGAAACTTAAAATATATGATGCTTCCAAAGAAGAACCCCCGCATTTTGTGTTGTTCCTCAGTCTATAGGGAGAATAACTCCACAAGGCATTTGTCAAATTTGTCACAGACTTATTTTTAAATAAAATGTCAAATTGAAGTTCAAATGTTAATATTCATTTTCCCTGTAATTAGTAATGCCATATGTTTACACATAATCTCCTTTATCAGGAAAATAGATAACGTTTTTTGAGAAAAAAGGTTTCTTCACTAGCCTATCAAAGAATTTTACTGGTCTTTTTCTGTAGCTTTCCTTGGCTCTGCTTTCCACCTACCCTCTATGCTAAAAAACATCAGAAGTCAGGTTAAGATATAATTCAGTGCGCTGAGTATCACTAGGTGAATCCTCTCCATTCCGCAATTTTCAACATATTAAATATGTTCATTTTGAGAATAATATAATAGCTTGTGAACAACGTTCCTTTGTCTCTTTTTTTTTTTTCATCTTTTCTCAGTTTCAGCTTCTTGTGAGTCTCCTAAGTTCCTTTTCTTTTCTTTCTTCTATATGTCTAAACAAGTGTGCAACGAAAAAGAAACTTTTTTGCCAATAGGTGTGTATGATTACAATAAGCAATAACTGGCCACCTTACGCACCCCAATCCTTTTCCTTTTTGTATTGGTTTTGGAACCAAAAAGGTCAAGCACCATTTGTAAATTAGTACATCTATTATTATATTTGTAGATTCTTTGACAAACGTTAGTCTATTTGATAGTGAAGGACAATATGGGTATCTCCCAAGTTATCCCTCAAAAAGCCATTTAGACAAAGAGAAACCCCACAACATATCCTCTATTCCTTTCAAGCATCCAATGTTCTTTATCCCTTACCTTTCATCCCTTTTGAGGTAAATCCATGCTTTTTCTTTCTTGCAAATTCAGAATCCATTTCGCTACGCTCACCTGTTTTCTCATCATTGATTATAATCGGTAAAACTTGATTAGTCTAAACTAGAAAAGTACATAAATAAAAATACAATGATTAAGCACTTAAGCAGGAGAAAAACAATTATTAAACAAAGTGCTTGATTCGTGATACACATGGAATTTACAGGTTATAGAATAATAGTAACCACTCTATGTATGCAGATTTTAACTTAGGCTTTCTAATACTGCACACAAATTGCTCCAATACACCTAAAAAATAAATAATATTCATTTACTTAGATCACAATTTATCTTTTCAACCAAAACTATATCAATATCTAATCTTGGTCCCAAAATTTGTTTGTCTTCACTTAATTCTATCAAATCAAGTGGCTTAATGTCTAAGGTATGATTAAATGAGGGGTGCAAAATGAGACAAAAGGATGGACAGACGGTCACCAACTCCCACTTGTTTTCCCAACAAGAGAAGAGAATGTTGAAAATAAATACGTTGCTATTCACATACATTTTCCACTCACGACCTTAACAGTTGACAGTGCCAGCACTATTTATTTTCTTCTTCTTGTTGGTCACACCTGGATCTGTAGCAAGACTTTAGAGCCAGATTTGTCCACTTTTTGAGGCTTTGACATTTTCCCCTCGTTCACCATTGTCAAAGTTATTCTATAAAGACATTGTTCTTGAGTTAAAGCACACTCCAATAACTCCTTTTCATGCAAATGCAAAAAGGTCATCCTTTCCAAAGGCCAGTAGTGGCTTAGCACTAGGAGTGAGAACTCAGGAGAGTCTTGATAGTGAAGGCTTGTTTGGTCACAAGACTTAATCTGTTCTCTACATTCGTGGTCATGTCATAGACACTTAACAGCCAATTATCACTTTGTGGGAACTTCCAGGAAAGAAGCTCTACTCTGCTGAAATGCAAATGGACATGTGATGTGATTTGAAGTGAAGTATTGGAATTTATTTAGCAGTCTCTGGGAACTAAATTTGGACTCTAGAGTCTTGACTAGTGTTTTTGGCTCATTTCTCAAGTGTGCTTCATCTGAGTTCTGATTTGTGAAGTTCCAAGGTAGGATGGTTCACGGTATCTTTGTTGCGTTTGTTTTAACACAGTTAAAGTTGTTGTTTAAGTGAATTGTCTGTTGTTTCTGCTTTACTCTGTGAAGAACTCTGATTTGGGTGGCTTTCAGGTATGGTGCTTGAAAGGGGTGGAGAAAATAAAATGCTGGGACTGAGATTTACTCCAAGGCATAAACGTTCAAAGAGGTTCCAATCTGTTTCTTATGTTTAGCCTTTAGATTCTTCTTTTTCTTAATAGTGTTCTTAAGAACACGTTATGAACTGTTGAACGACTAATAGTTGCTTTTACATTATCTTTGACGTGATTTTTCTTTAAACATGGATCCTGGATATGGAACCAAGTAGGCTCTCGATAAGGCTTCTTTGGTTACTTGTAATCATGCATATCTATAGCATATTTCATGATTCGGAACCATACGAGAAAGTTTTTTTCTTATATTCAGTGTGTTTACATGGCAGTCTTTCTGATAAGAAAAAAATCCAGGAGGACAATTCAGATCGCATTCAGGTCTCAGATCGCATGAAGCTGGTACACTCAAATAACTTCTTTCTATTTTTATTTTTTTTATCAATTATCTTGGAAATTTAAGGCACTACATGTAGATAGATAGATAGATACATTCTTTGCAGGCAAGAAGAGGCGTGTATGATGCTGAAAACAAATTTCATCATTCTTATTTTGACTTTTAGGACAAATCTTTAATCATGAATGATGTCAATGATGGCCCAAAATTTAATAATAACTAACTATGTTTCCAAAAGTTTAATGTAAGATGAACGAATGGAGAATTGGTTCAAAGCAAACAGTATTTTTTTTATTTCAATCTCATTAATTACATCCACTCTGTTCGGACTTTGATGACCTATTTTGATTTCATTCTCTGCAGTCCCCATGCACGACAAAATGTATTAACTTTCATGCCTAAGTATGGGTCTGGTTTGATTTGATTCCAGGACATGGGTTACCTCACGGAATGTGATAAAGCTGAGAAAAATCGAACCCCTACAAATGAAGTTCACAGTACTCTGAAGCAAGAGGTACAATATCAGAAATGCTGCTCATCATAATTCTTTTGATGCAGTTTCTGCTGCAATCGCATTTATTGCATCGTGGCCCTGTTTCCCATTTCTTTTTTTTTGTTTTTTTTTTTTTTTTTCCTTTTCGGCACACTGCATTCATTATTGAGTTTGCGCATCCCGCGAGTGTGACTTGGACCTTATTCTTTTAATCATGTCTATTTCATTCAAATTTATTTCTTTATTTATTGTGAAGTTACATTGTGACAGATTCTACAGCTGGAGAGAAGATTACAAGACCAATTTCAGGTCAGAGGCACGTTAGAAAAGGCACTTGGATACAGATCTTCATCCCTCGCTGACTCAAATGAGATGATAAAACCCAAGGTAGCAACAAGTTCAAGTAGTATCGGGTCCATAAAATATGCATATACAAACGCATTGTCATACATGTGTCTTGGATCATTAGATTATTGTGCAACCTATACATGATTATACATTGTTATGCATTTTTGCTAGTCTTAAATTTTTTAATAATTTTTTGTCTTCCAGCCAGCCACAGAATTAGTAAGGGAAATTGCAGTGTTAGAGTTGGAAGTTGTGTATTTGGAGCAACATCTTCTGTCCTTGTACCGTAAAGCTTTTGATCAACAATTATCTTCTGTATCTCCGACTTCAAAGGAGGAAAATATAAAGTTCCCTGTGACAACACATAGTGCACGATTCATCAATGTTTCTGTGCCTGAGGTCTTAACCAAGAGAGAATGTTCTACAACACCATCTAAAGACCATGAGTTTGAGACTCAGAGAAAGGAGAAAAACAGATATGAGCCTGAGGCTTTAGGGAAAGAATATAATGAAAATCTACTAGAAGAAAATCATTTAGATTCTGGGGTTTATCGTTGCCATTCCTCATTATCCCATTGTCCAGCGTTTACAAGAGAATCTCCTCTGGCAGAATCTTTAGCTAAATCTCTGCGTGCCTCTCATTCCCAGCCATTGTCCATGTTGGAGGTAAATCCAAGTCTTGTTTGAATAAAACTTTCAATAAACATTTATGAGATAAAAAATTAGGAAGATAAAATAAAATAAACTTATCTTCCTAATTAAAATCAGCATAGTTAAAATTAATTTATGAATTGAATTGTAGCATAACCATCATGAAATACTCGACTTTCATTGGATTTTGAATTTGGGTGCATGATTATATGTAGTATGCTCAAAGCTCTTCATCGAACATAATAAGTCTGGCAGAACATCTTGGTACCCGAATATCTGATCATGTTCCAGTAACACCTAATAAACTTTCCGAGGATATGGTGAAATGCATATCAGCTATATATTGCAAGCTTGCAGACCCTCCTGTGACTCATCCAGGCCTTTCATCTCCAAGTTCATCCTTGTCCTCAACAAGTGCCTTTTCCATTGGAGATCAAGGTGACATGTGGAGTCCAAGGTTCAGGAATAATTCCTCTTTTGATGTACGTTTAGATAATCCTTTCCACGTGGAAGGACTTAAGGAGTTTAGTGGGCCATACAGCACCATGATTGAAGTCTCATGGCTTTATAAAGAGAATCAGAAGTCTGGTGATACTGAGAAGTTGCTTCAGAATTTCAGGTGAGGCTTTTAGATTTGATTGAGATAATGAAGGGCTCACTTTTCAAGTATATATTAGAGTTGAATTCTTTGGTTTAAGGTGAAGTTTTTAATGAGCATGTCTTTTAATGTTGTTATAGGTCACTTATTTGTCGATTAGAACAAGTAGACCCCGGCAGGTTGAAACACGAGGAGAAGCTAGCTTTTTGGATCAACATACACAATGCTTTAGTGATGCATGTAATTATTACACTCTCAAGAATATATTTGCGTTATATTTTTCCCATTTGATTAGTTGGGTTATAATTTGTTCTTTTGTTTCTAATAGGCATTTCTGGCTTATGGGATTCCACAAAACAATGTGAGAAGAGCTTTTCTTCTGTTGAAGGTACACATTGAGAGAGTAGTTACTTAAAAATCATTAATTTAAGGATGAAACTCTTATGGCTACATGCTTGTTTGGTCGTTGCAGGCTGCATATAATGTTGGGGGTCATACAATTAGTGCAGACACAATACAAAGTACTATACTTAAGTGTCGGATGTCTCGTCCAGGACAGGTGAACCCTATGTTCTCAATTCCCTTCCCTATAGAAAACAAAAAACAGATAGAAAAATACTATTGAAGTGAAATTCAAATAATATGCTTTTAAATTTCCCCTCTACAACCAAAAGAATGTGTTGTTTTTATTCCAGACACTGGTGATTTACATGGTTCCTTCTTCAAACTTGCTTCCTCTTGTAGTGGTTGCGCTTGTTATTTTCTGCAAGGACAAAATTCAAAACCGGAGATAGACGACAAGCCTATGCACTGGAGCATCCTGAGCCTCTTTCACATTTTGCACTCTGTTCAGGAAACCATTCTGATCCAGCGGTATTCTCTTAATTCTTATTTTATGCAAGTCTTGACATTTATTTGGGGAATTCCTTATACATTGGCTAGTATTCAAGCAAAATCATTTTAGTAACATAAAAATTAAGTCAGTTGCAAATGTTGTTCACATGTTTTGGCAATGCCATAAACAATGCTTGGAACTTGAAAGTGTTTCTACATCTTTAAGAAAATTACTTTCAACTGTGTTTAACGGTTAACATGAAATGTACTGAGAAGTTGACTATCTCAGAGGATTCACACCTTATGTCCCCTCTTGCTATCCCCCAATTAAAATCTAACAACCAAACTCGCTTTCTGAATCTGCAATAACTTCCCTCTTTAGTTCGACTTTTTTGTTATAGATTGAGGGGTACAAATTGAAGGGCGAAAAAAGGACACAAGTTTTTATTTCAAACATGTTTTGCTTTCAATAAGATAAAGTGGATCATTCCATGTTAGTTGTAAAACCACGACACCATGTACTAGTCATTATCCTAACCAAACAAGTTGAAGGCAGGGGATTAAGAAATAAATATATGGACAAATAGATTAGGTGTACCACAAACATTTTAAAATTTTCATTTGGTTAACTGTGATAATGTTTGACAGGTACGTACATACACACCAAAGACAGTGTTACAAGAGCTAGAAGTTGCAAAGGACGAGTACATTCGAGCCAACTTCGGAGTACGCAAGGACCAAAAAATACTATTACCAAAGCTTGTTGAGTCATTCAGCAAGGACTCGGGTCTGTGCCCCAATGGTATCATGGATATGATCCTAGAATGTCTACCCGAATCCCTCAGCAAGAGTGTTAAGAAATGTCAGCTTGCAAAATCCAGCAAGTGTATAGAATGGAGTCCACACAACTTCACTTTTCGATACCTTATATTTAAGGATATGGTAAAATGATTGATTACTTAGCAGCATTACTTAGTGTGCCAATTGATGTGCATTGTTTGATCTGTGTAATTCTTTTGTACAAAGTAGAAAGGGTAAAATACAATGTGAAAGCATTGTACTACCTACTACAATTGAAGCGGTGTAAATATGTGTGTTGCTACAGCACATGTGTATGTTTGGTGATTGTCTAACATGATGCGACTGGGAGCTTAAAGACAAAACAAATGGTAGACGGCATGAACGTGACAGTGGGTGGTTTTAGACTTAAATGTAGTCAAATGACTTAGAAGGGGTAAATCCAAACCATGAGTGGTTTATTTTGTCAACGTGGTTAGTGTTCATCAGAAAAGTCTAAGCTCTGATTCTAGCTTGGAAAACAAGTGGAATTGAACATGTAGACCCTAACACGCTGAACAGAATAATTAAATGACAATTATCAAGAATCCAATGTATACGATGTCACTTGATCTACGAACCAAATAAATGACCAAAAATCAAATCACGCTGTTAGATTTGTGGGTTCACATGACAATCAAATGTCGGTCAATTATCTACTTGTCATTCCCTTGAGGTTTTCATAAAAAATAATAACATCAGAAATCAAGAATTAAATGCTATGATTTTTATTTTTATTTTTATTTTTGGTGAAAATGGTCCATGTTTAATACTAGGTGAATAGAGATTCTTTTTTAATTCACTTGCATGGCTTGAAATCCAAACAGATAATTAATTCCTCTGACTTTTTATTTGGGAAAAGGATGAAACTCCAACAGATCCAAATAATTTTTTAAAGGCCCACCACAAAATTTCTAAAGCAATGAAATCTATAAATCTTACTCAAGGTCAAATTCAAAGTTAATTTCTAATCAACATACAAAAGACAAAATAATTTTTAAATTCAATAAATAAAAAACTTAAAGCCAAATTACAATCATCCATACAAGTTGAATACAATGGCCCAGATTATATAAAAAAAACCCAATTAAAAGAGAGTAATCTCCGTATGAACGAATCTCTTGAAAGCTTTCAATATTCTCTCCAGTACGTGAGAGATCATATGAAAAAAGGTAAAAAAAATAAAAAAAAAACATATATTTTTATATCATAATCAAACGTGTACCTAGTTATTTGGCAACTACCATTGTTTTATTACATTTATAACTCATGCTCTTTTATGTGTTTTCATGGGTTGGCAAATACCCTTTTATGTCACTGACTTTTCGACCCAAAAATTTAGTGCTACACAAAGTCAAAATTTACATTAAAAAGAACGATGCCATGTGAAAACATAACTACCCGAAAACTATAAATTATGAGTAATCCTATATATATATATATATATATTATTTATTTTTTTTTTTTTTTTTACGATCTGAAGTTTTAAGAGTTGAAATTTAAATAGTTAATAATATTTAATTACATATATACGTAAAGATCGATGAGAATCATATGAGTGATGTTGCAAGATCATCTATAATTTCACAAAATTTGCCTCCTACTTAAAAGCATTAAAGTAGCAGAAAAATAACAAACACAAACTTGGTAAAAAAAACTAGAACTTGTAAACACGAAATGTCTTTACTTCATAATTGATCCATGACATTGCGCTGACTAGTAGAATTACTTGGCACACATGATGTGATAAAGTAAAAGGTAGAGTTAGGTTAAGTATGATTTGATTTGATGCATGGAAATGGAAATGGAAATGGAAATGGATGGTGGATGAATCAGTAAGGAGTCTCTCCAATGACGTTTCCCGGAGGGTCGTAGAAACAAATGGTCAAGCATGATTTCTCCTTCACACACGCGGCTTCAGCGCAACCCACTTCCGTCGAATTCCTCCACACCACCTGTGTGTAAACCCCGCACTCGTGCTTCCCCACGCACGTGTTGTTCGCCCGCACGTAGAACTCTTTCTCCTTCACCCACTCCTCAACCGCCACGCGCGGCGCCACCGCTGTCACTCCCGCCCATAGCTGGTTACCGCCGTAGTTGCTGCCGGTCAGGTTCGCGAACTCGCACCCCATTTTGTTCCGCTGGTAACGGACCATCAGACTGGAGGCGTTCCCCAGCTTCTCGCTCCACCTCAGAGGCTCCACACCCACTGCGGCTCGAGCCGCGTTGTGTGCCTCCAAGTACTCACTCGCGGCGGCCGTGAGAGGCGGCGGAGGAGGTGGATTGGGCGGCGCGGTGGCGGCGTGGGCGAGGATAACGAGTGTGAGTAGAGAAGCGAGTGAAAATGAAAGATGATAGAAGATATCCATTTGAGCTTGTGTTGTACTGCAATGGTTGGGTTGGAGATATTTATTGCGTTATGGTATGTATGACAAAGTTTGAGTCACGGACGTTGAAATTGTTGATGTGCAAGGAAGGAAGAAGACCAATAGGATTGAAGAGCCTAAACTAAATTTACCAACTTCTCCTTCTATGTCTGTTCCACTCGAACTCATACGTGTTGCTCATTGCTTCTGCATGTCACATTAAAAGAACAACCATTAATTGCTATAAAGTTGTCGATACTAGGAAATGTCAATGCAGTTGTCCCTAGAAAAAGGAAATATGGGCTTAAAGTTACGTTTGTTGAAGCCCATTTCAAAATTTTCCAACGTCGAAACAAAATTCTGCTCATGTGAATCTTTCTCACTGCATTTCTCCTTCACTAAAAAGAGAGCTATTCTTATTTTTCTTCCACGGAAATTACCATTTAACTTAATCTTCAAAATAACTAATAAATATATGTATATATAATTTAGGATGTGTTTGCATTGTTTTATTTTCACTTTCCAATACACGTTGAAAGGGATGGGATAGCAAATTTCATAGGAAATCGCGCTACCATTTGCAACCATTATACGGAAGCAACACCATCGTACGTGTAACAAACAATGGAGTTCAAAGTATCAATACAAAATTTAAGTATTAATCTTGTAAATTTAATTATGAAAGTTTTTTTTTTCTGCATATATTACTATTAGATTTTTCCAATCTTTCACATTTATCTATCCGTAAAATATCTTAGAAATGATGATTTGTCATAAAACAAGAAGAAATTTTTTTATCCTCCCCTATTTAAAATTAAAAGCAAAACTATGTTTAATAAATCCTAACCATGTTTTTGTTTTTTTGTTTTTAAATCTAACGTTAAAATAAAAACCAACTTAAACAATAAAATAATGAAAAACACAAGTCCCTAATCTGGTGGAATAATAAATCAGTATATTATATATATATAAAGAACAAAAAATATAATAAACAATTAAAAATTTATCAAACAGAATTCTTTAGAGGACCCAAATAAAAATAATAGTATCCTTCAAGCCTTGTGTTTATTTTCTTTTGATGGCATATCCTTGCTCCGATAAATTTTACCACATCCAGTAAAAAATTTAAAAAGTTCAAATATAAAATAAATAAATAAATAATCATATGAAATCAATTTTTCATGATAATAATGATAACATATGAAATTCTATAATATTTTTTTTTAAACGTACGTATTTTAGAATATTATTAGGTTAGATAATCATGACTTAGGTGCTCGATCCAACGAATATTTTTTTATCCAATCAACATAATAAAATTGAGTTTTAAATATTACTTTTGTGGGTCTAGAATTCTTTTTTAGAATATTTAATTTTAGGACTATATATTCTAGTATTTAACTTGGCTTGAGGTCAACGGGATTCAAATAATGATTTTGTTTGTCTTAAAGTTTATTCAGAGTGTTTTTTTAGGATTACAGATTCAATTGTTTATTTAAATTTAGGCGTTAATAGTAAAAATTATTTTCAATTAATAATTTTATGGGTCCAAAAGATTTTTTTAGGTTTCAAGTGTTTACTTTGTTAAATTTTAAATGCAAAATAGAAATTATGATCCAACTTTTTGATTTATTAGTGTGGTTAGATCTTCTAAAAAAATATAATAAATAATTAAATGATAATTAAAATTTATAATTAGTAGTCTCTGTTTTTAAATATTAAAATATTTTTATATAAATATAATATATTGAAAACATGATTCTTATTGTTTAAAAAAAATAAATGTATAACATATTTTATTAATTGAAATCACATCAAAATATTTTAGTTAATTATTACACCTCTAGTTTAATTATCATATAATTATAAAAATCTTAATGAACGCTTCAAATTTATTTTGATTTAATTAGGGTAGGATATTTATTTTAAAATATTTAAATCTTCATAGTGATAATATTGAATAATTTAAAATTTTAAAATATTGAATATTAATAATAATTATGTTAGATGCATTTCAATTTAACTATTAATTAAAATATAAGAAAAATAATTATAAGAAGCATTTTTTATTTGGATATTATATAATTATTAATTGTTTATTAAAAAAATATTTTTGATATATCTTTAACTTAGTTATAAGAAAAATCAAAATAATAAAAATAAATGTTAATACTTTTCATAGGTGTATTCGACTATCAAATTAAAATTTTGTTTGTAAATCACTTTTTTTTCTTTTAATGTTTATTTTTTTAATATTTTTATTAAAATAAATAAGGTGACAAATTATTGTTCTTTTTTCCTTTAAAACAGCATTCCATCACCATTTTGGTTACGACAATATATAAAATGAAAAATAAGATTAATGACGTACATTTTTTGTTATGATAATGTATAAAATGAAAAATAAGATGAATGAAGTAGATAATGAGATCCAAGGCTGATATATGTGTGAAAGCATCTAAAATTAAGTTAATTTTGAAGTTCAAGTCAAACCAATCATTATTATCTATTATTAGTTGAGATGTATATGTTGAGGTAAGATAAGTCACTTAAAGCATGTGATATAAAAATTACAAGGTATTAAAAATATATTATGTGACAACTATGTTAATATGAATCTAATAAGATCCTAAGTTTCATTAATAATCTTCCTCATGTAAATTAAAGTGTCAAATAATAAAAAATTGTTGATGTTCGATACAAGATTACAAATATATATGTCAAATGAAGAATATTTTTAGTAGTTATACTATAAGTGTAGGGTGTCAAAAATGATATAGGTACTTAAAAAATATCTAATAGAGTATCATAACAATATAACATACAAATATTATAACACATCATATTAACTTTTTTTTTTAAGATGTTTAATTAGGATAGACATAATATTATAAAAGTGACTGATGTATTAATAATTCCGTAAGTTATTATGTAAATATTTAACTTATCTTGTTTTTTTCTTTTTTACTCGCATGATTGTATTCTTTACATGGGAATTAATGATACTACAAGAAAAAAATAATATATCTTAACAATTATAATTATAAAAATGTAATATTATAATATATATATATATATATATATATATATATATATATATATATATATATATAATATTTTCAACGGTGACTAACGAGAATAATTTATAATATATTTTAAATTTAATAAATCTAGATCAAATAATTATATAATAAAAAAATTCTAAAATACAAAAAAAATGAATAAAAAAATATAAAAAATAATTTATTTATTAATTTTAAAAATAGTATTTAGTTTTAAAACTAAAAATAATTGGTTTGCTAATTGTTTTAAATTAGTTTTTACTTTTTTTACTAATGGATAAATATGTTTTTTATTTTAGTTTTATATTTTAATTAATAGTATATATCTTTACCAATAGTTTTATTATATTTTTCGTTGCCATCACATTATCCAAAGTCATATTCATTTTTGTTGCAACTTTTTATCATAATCATTAATATTTTCTTCTATTTAGAATATGATTTAAATTAAAATTATAAAAGAACTTTTTTTTAACTTATTATGAAAACAGTTTTGTAAAATTATTTTATAAAACTATTTTAAAAAATAGAAAATCCTAAATCACTACTTATTTACCAATTAAAAAGAACAATTAATATTTTAAAAAAATCATAATTTTATTTCTTTACATTAATTTTTAAACTTTAATTTCAAAATTTTCTTCACTCTTAGTTTTCGCAATTGTACAAGGCATTCCTATGGGACCTGTTTCTATTATATGTTTTGGGTATCCATTATACGTCTATGAGGAAGAAAAGAAATATGAGTATAAAGAAATTGTAAATCACTAATTCATGTACCTGAAGTATATTCTTATTTTTAATAATTTCTTCCACCAGATTTTAAAATTGTTTTTCCAAGAAAAGGAAAAAAATACTGTTTGACTCTCAAGTTCTCTTTATTAAATAATAATAATAATAATTATTATTATTATTATTATTATTAGAAATGTAAATGTTAAAGTGTTCTTCATTTTGATAATTATTTTCTTTTAAAATAATTTTTTTATCTTGTAATTTTATTATTTTAAAAATATATAAATCATAATATTTTTTTAATTATAACACTTTAATTTTTCTTTCTCGATACTATAAAAATACTTATAAAAAATATTATTATTATATTATTATTATTGATAAATTAATTTTAAATAAATCAATAGAAATATAAAACTAAATATAAATATTTTATTTTATTTTTATAAAAAAGAAAAATATTATGTAAAGATCTATTGGATATTAAAGAAAATATAAGAAAAAAAAACAGAAAAGAAAAAAAATGACATAGAGTTAAAAATATATTTCTTGATTTAAAAAAGGAGTTATATAAAAAGGAAATAATATATTTATTTTAAAAATAATAAGTTAATTAATTAAAATTGAATAATAAATATAAATATAAAATATAAATTAAAATAATAACTATAAAGTAAATGATAAAAAAAATAAAGTAAAATATACAATTTGTTACTATTTTTCTTATTACTGATACAAAAAATAAAAATATCTTGCACTAATTTTTTTACACTGATCATTCTTCACTTGGTCCCAACGAAATACTTGAAATCTCACATTCTTAACTCCATGAGAATGCAAATTGAATCCGATGAAATTTTCTACAACTTTTATTTGAGTCCATTGCTTGAATTAGTCAAGTACGTAATTCCATAAACTATTCTAAACGAATTGTTTTTATTATAGCAGTGGAATTTGAATTGAATTTAAATAAGTTTATTTCTATATGTAGTTCTCTATTGGCGAAACTATCATTGGAATTAAATAAAATATTATTAATAAATATAAAAGTGAAAAAAAAGATAAAATTATAAATATATAAATGAATATATTAAATAATAATTAAATTTAGGAGTTAAAAATTATAATAAGAGAGTAAACTTATTCCAATGATATGATTAAATGACTTTTTCAGCTAATAAAACACACTCTTGGCAATTGGTACCAACACATTCATGCCCTTTTTATGTTAATATCCATCAGAATGCAAACAATATAGAGATAATCAGTGCAGTTGTATATTCAGAAACATTATAAAAAATGTTTTAGAAAAAACAAACAAAAGATTCACCCAATTCCAAAACTTCGAACTCTAATTCAGGTAAATAATACATCTTTGAATATTAGACACCACTGTTTTCAATCGGATCGAGACAATTACAAACAAACACAGATGGAGATCTGTGAGAAAGGCAGGGGAATAACTTCAGATGCTGCATTTCAGTATCTCTGTGGGGGCACAACCACACCAATTCCCAGATTCTTCTTCTTTCACAACCAATTACTCTCACTTGGGCCCTTACTAGTACAAATCCAACCACCTATTATAGTTGTTATTCTCTTACAAGGTCCCACTCAAGTAAATCGATTGAATCGCAATCCAAATGTAAAAAACCCAAATAAAGTTAATAAAAGCAACTTACACGGTCACGGTTTAACGGCGTGTATCGGAGCCTCTGTTTGTGCGAGTAGGGTAATTATTGTTTGGGTTGGAAAGCGCTGAACCTGCTTTAACGGCGAGATCACACAGAAGATTGAGGGACAAGGGGGAGTGCGAATACGAGAGAGGGACAAGGAAGTAGATTCGCCCGGGAAGAAGTTCCTCCTCGTCGGGGACGCGTGGCATGCACGTGCCGATGTGCACAGATTCGGAGTTGCAGAGGTAGCAATGGGGGTTATCGGAGAGCACGGTTCTCGCCGGGATTGGTTTCTTGAACTCCTTGATTCGACCCGCCATGTCCATCACCATGATTGACGACGGTCTTCGGAAAGATTCCGACGCACGTGCACCGTCGCCACCTTCCTTCACCCATGCTGTTGTGATTGTGGTGGCGGAGGGAGATGATGCGCACGCGCCCATTGCGCTGAGTAGATGGTGCCGTTTCGAGATTTGTTCCTTCACTTCTTATTTTTTTTTTTTTTTTCTTTTTTTGGTATTTGGAACTTGGTTTGTCCTTGGACGAGGGATTAGAGTGACTTGATGCAAATGTCACATAATATAACATGGACCTTCAGCGTTTGACTTTTATCGTGTGCGCGTGCGCTAAAAAAATTGGAAGAGACTCTACATACACAATGAAAACAAAAATGTATTAAATGTTTGCGTTTAATGCATTCATTTTTAAAGTGTATAAAATTACTAATAAATGCTGAGAATATTTATCTTACCCTGTTATTTTTGTTGTGCTCAGTTATAAATAAAAATGTTTTGGGAATTTAAATATTAATATATTTTGACTACTTTTGTCCTATTTTATAATACATTATTGACAATATATCCTTCGTTTAATTGAATATAAATAAAGTTTAAATACTTTTATCTTCTCAATAATACATTATTGATATTAATAATTTCCAATTAATTAACATTTTTAAGGAATATTTGCTATTTTATATTAATTTTTATTTCCTTGTATTTTAATAAAAAAACTTTATGTTAAAGATACAATTAATAGAATTAAATTATATTAATAATTTAAAAGTTAGTTAGTTTTTTTAATTAATTTTAACTCAATAGGTTAAGAAAAATGTACAAATAAACTTTCTTAATTAATGTAAAAGTTACATATTTTTGTACAATTCAAATAATACTACTACTAATAAAAAATAATAAGTCATTGTCTTTTTGAAATTCAACTAGATCGACTAGGTTGATTGAAAATAGACTACTGACTATCTATTAAGTAAAAAGGAAGAATAGCTCTTTTAAAATTGATGTAAAAACTCAATTTGAATCAATATTTTTTCAAAAATCCCATTTTATATTTTAATATTAAACATATATTTAAATTATATCTTTAAAAACATATTGTTTAACTATGCATAGCAATTTCTAATTTTGAAATTTTAATTTCTAATAACGTTGAATTATTTTATTACTTAAAATATTACTACTTATCAGCAAGCAGTGACGAATTTTTTTTTCATAATCTATTTGTATATTTTTACGTTTGGTTATAATAATAGTTAAATGTATTTATTCATATATTTAGAATTGTGATTTTTTATTTAATTTATTCTTATAAACATTATAATAAATTATTAAATATATTAAAATAATTAAATATTTTATATTTTTTTATATTAATGTTTTATTATTATTTAAGAATAATATACTATTTGATTATCATCAACGTCAATCTTATGTCACAATAAATTTGTTTATTGTGAAATTAAATTTTAATTTACACGTTCAACATTTTTATTTATTATGAATTTTTATTCTACGAATAAAAATAATTTTGTATATAACACAATACTAAAATACAAACTTTTTTACTAAAAATACATTTTAAAAAGTGACAAACTATCAAACCATATTTTTTTTTTATGAAAATCCGACAATTTAGTTGGATTTTAACTTTATATTACATTAAGACTGAATATATATAATACCCACTATTAATCAATAATGTTCACTCGTTTTGGATTTGGATGAAAAAAGAAAAAACTATTTAAAAATGTTTACATAATTAAAATTAAGCTAATCTTAGTTATAAGTTTTATATCGGAACATAATTAAAATATTTTTAGGATGAATTTTAATTAGTTTGATGTAATTTTTAGAAGACTTTATATTTATCCCACTCATCTAACAACTTCATCTAAACTTTTATCGAGACTTTTTAACAATCTTGATATTTTTTTGGTTCTCAACCTTTTTATGCTATGATCACTGCAAACCTATTCCCTCTCTAGATAATATAAATAATGTTCTTATGTAGTGCTTCATAACCTTTGTTTTTTGAAGTCATTGTATAATTTTCAATAAAATACAAATATTCATCTTTAATATTACTAGCTACGTGATATAAACAATAACTTTTTAACATATTATTCAATTTGTAAGCAAGAATGAAAACATATAAACGTATGTTGTAAAGTTTTTTTCTTCTATTCAATCTTTATTACTTTTTCATTGAATCGTGTAATTTTTAATGTTATTTAAAAACTGAGTTTTTTATTTTATTTTATAAACATTTAAAGTTTTATTTGCTTCATATTTGTTAGATATTGAAAAATACATTCATGAAAATAAAAGAATTAAATATATTTTTATCCTATTGTAATTTTTTAAAATTAGTTTCCGTCTTCATATTTTAAAAGTTAATAAATTAGTCTTTAAAATTTTAACAAAGTATATTATTTTTAATTAATTTTAAAATAATAAAATTACATTTATTCTTTTTACCAACTTTTTAAAGTGAAAATTTATAGTTAAATTTTAAACTTATGTATTAAAAATAGTAAAATCACGTATTTTTAAGTTAGAGATTCAAATTAATCAATTTAAAATATAAAATAATAAATAATTTTGTGAATATATATATATATATATATATATATATAATATATATAATATTTTCGTAATAAAAATACAAAATCTTAATTGTGAAAATTTTTAAAATAGTCATAAGATAATCTTTAAAAGATTTAAAATTTTGTTTTATTGTCTAGATTAGTACATCCCTAGGTTTAGGTCTGACTCTAAATTCTCAACTGTTTGAAATTATTAGGTTGAGAAAGATTCCATGAACTTTTCTTTCCCGGCACTCAATGAAAAACAATGCTAAGAATTGTATTGTGTTTGACTATATGTAATTAAAGTCCAAGTGTGTTTCGAAATCTGTAGATAAAAAAAATAAAATCTGAAATATATTGTACTTTTCTTTGATCTAATATTTAGCATGAGAAAATTGAAGGAAAAGAAACAAATGTCAAATTTAAGTTAAAATAATAAGTTTTTTTAGTTACAATAAATTTTAATATTTATCGACGGATTTTCGACTGACTAAAAATTTATCGAAAATTACGTAAATTACTTGACAGATTGTCCGTCGGTAATATTTTTATTATTTATTAAATATTTTAATTATATAGATTTCAACTTAGTACTTTAGAGTTAGTAGACCGATACTCCAACCACTAAGCTTACTAGAATTTTTTGATAATAGTTTACAAATAAATTATATTTATATATTTATATATTTATATATTTACATATTTATATTTATATATTTATATATTTATATATTTATATATTTATATTTTTATATTTTTATATTTTTATATATTTATATATTTATATATTTATATATTTATATATTTATATATTTATATATTTATATATTTATATATTTATATATTTATATATTTATATATTTATATATTTATATTTATATATTTATATATTTTTATATATTTATATATTTATATATTTTTATTTTTATATATTTATATATTTATATATTTATATATTTATATTTTATATATTTATATATTTATATATTATATATATATATATATATATTTATATATAATTAAATATTTTTATATATTTATATATAATTAAATATTTATTTTTTTAAATTATTTAATTGAAGAAATTATTATAAATTAATTTAATTATGATTAAATTAAATTATTAAATAAAAAATATTTAATTTTTTAATTAGTTGAATATTTACTAATTGTTAATTTACCGATCGGAAATATTCGTCGATAATTTACAGATGAATTTACCGACGGATAATTAATTATTAATTTATCGATCTAATTTACTCGATGGATATATCCGTCTGTAATTAATTATTAATTTATTGACGAATTTACCGACAGATATATCCGTTGGTAAATTCATCTGTAAATTACTAACTAATTTATCGACGAATATATCCGTCGGTAACTAATTATTATTTTAGCGACAAATATATTCGTCGATAATACGCGATTTTCTTGTAGTAGATTAAAAATATATTTTATTTTTCTTGCCCCCAACCACACCTTTAAAAATGAGTAGTTACATTGAAGTTTGCTATTGATTTTCTTTACCTTGGGAAATTTTTTATGACAAAGTATTTGTTTAACTCTTATGAGGCAAAATTTGAACCATTCTTTTCTTTGTCATATAATGAATGTTTGTGGGAAATAAGAATGCATTTTTTGATGATATAAAGAGGGAAAGTGATAAAATGCAGCCACAAATAGTGATGTATAATATGTGGTGGTGAGTGAGTGAGTGAGTGGTAGATTAGAATAAGTTTAGCATAAGAAAAGATAGGTAGCCATTAGCCATTAGGCGATTCCACTAAGAAAAAAATGAAGACGAAAAGCGATGGAGTTGATTATGCATGTCATGTGCAAATTGATACAGGGATTGGCATACATACGTATCTAGGCCTTCCAAAAGGAACTTTATCAATCAATCTACAGTATATGTGTACACCTTTCTTTTCTTTCCCTTTTCCTTTCACAAAACAAGTTGCCAAACTTGGAAAATCATTTCTTAAGATCGAAGGATTTCTTTTAAATGGACATTGGAAAAAAAAAACTAAAACTAATGCCATTTCTGAAGGAAGAGATATCAATCATCAAGTGTGTTTAGAAAGTTATTTAAAACATTACGAGTAAATAGTATAGGCTACATAACATGGGAAAATATCAACCATGAATATTATGGTATCATCAAATATAAATACGTTACAAGGCGAATTTAGCTATCTTAAAAAAAAATCACAAGCAAAGTAAAAAATGATATAGTTTAAATTTTAAATTAAAAGCATTAAAATTATAAAAAATATAAAATTTAATTTATTATTTATTTTCACTATAATTTAAATAATTAAGAAAAAAGTCAAGATCTTGTGATTTGAAGAAAATATATTATTTACTTTAATACCTTTTAAATAGAAATGAAATGGATAAATTAAGTAATTAAAAATACTTTTTCATGTTATTAATACAAATTCAAATTATTACTATCAAACTTGTATCATGCAAAACCTAACTGAGAGACAAGAAGAAGAAATAATAAAGTAATTGGAGATAATAACAAGCCAAAAGTCTCTATCTTTAAATCGTGATTTATAGTTTAGAGAGATAGGGATTAAGTAAAAGTCTTTTACTTTTTCTTTAGATAAAAACATTTAATATTTGAAATTAGAAAATATTGAATCACCATTTGTCAACTTAAATATCGTGTACATGTACAACAATGTTTACTATTTGGACTAATTAAACGGGGTTTGAATTTTTTTAAACGTGGTGTTCTACAGATTCTACTTTTAAAGATATCTGTGTAGGTAAAAGATATTATAAGTGCGAATGATACACAAGAAAAAACTACAAACCATTAAAAAAATCTCTCTTTCTCTATATATAATCATGACTTTATCTATAGAAATTAGATGCATGCTAGAATAACTTATTAAACTGATTGAGTTAGACATCTTAAATTATTAAATTAAATAGAGAAAAGAAAACTTTATACACTTTACTTGTTGTACAAAGAAACTATTAAATTTTATTTTACATTTTATCAAATTAGTGAATTTTATTGGTTATTTAGATAAATATCTGTAATTTTAATTTTATTCTAATTTTTTGTATTTTTTATAATATTTTTTCTGACAGGGTGAATTAAATGATTTGTAAAAAATTTACTTAAAAATAGAACGTTGACTTGATAAATTTATCATTTAAAATTTAGTTTTTAAAAGCGAGGTTTATAGTTTGTTTGATTTAGTTTAATGGTTTTATTTTTTAAAAGTGGGTTTAGAGATAATTTTTTTAAAAAATTCTAAAAATAAGTTAGAAAAAAACATTTGACAAATCTATTTTTAAAGATAAAATAAATTACATAAAAGAAGAAGAAGTGAAGAAAAAAAATCGATTTTAATAACTTCGAATTAATTAAAATACTGGTGAGCCAAATAAAAAAAATGCATATATGTGACAAAGAAATAGAGTTTTCATAGGGGAAAAAATGATTTGATTAAAGTGATACGAAAATAGGGCCCGTGATGTAAACTCAGGTAAAAACTAGAAAGTAGTACCTTCCTCGATTATAACTGGTCAATTTAAGTAGGGATTATGTGGTGAAGGGTGCAACACTCATAGGTTTCATATAGTGTAGTAATTCTACTGTCACAATTTAAGAGAGATTTAAAAAATCATATATATTTTGTTATAATTTTAATATTTAACCTATTTGAGTGGTTTGGCATGTACCAACTCATAGAACAGATCAATTCAAATGGTTTAACAAAAACCCATAATATTAATTAACATCCTGCTCATTGACCAACATGAAATGTCATGCTTGACTCTCAACTTAGACTTTTCATTTTTTTTTAACAAAGTGTGGTCGTACTAATAGGGATGGAAAAACCTATGACACCTCAATTCAATCAAATTGCACTTTTGCCCCTATTTTCTTGCCCTATATACCTTCAAACTTTGACTTTCTAGAATCAACTTGGAAGACCACCAAATATTCGTGGAGTTTTTTTTTTATAATTTTTTTTCATTTATAATTAGTTCCAGGTTTGGTGATAAAATAATGAAATTTAATTTATTTTTTATAAATAAAATATAAATCTGTTGTATTTTAGATTTTACCACGTTATTATCAATTAAGAGATATTTATTTTAATTATATAAAATCGATTTAGTGTAACTATTTATATTTTTAATCTATTTAAATTTTTTTTTAGAAGATTTTTTCACCGACACGTTCTTATATTTCAAATAAACTTTGTTTATATTCTTGATTGATCATCTTCATTCAAATTAGATCTATTATTGTTGATAAGAAAGGCGACCCAAGAGATAGACAGGGACTATGGTTCCAAAAACAAAAATTCTTTTAAATTTTATTGAAAAAAAAAATGTTATGATCCAAAAAAAATTATATGTCCTAACCTCCTTGAACTAATTTTTTTAGTTTCGTGTCCATTAATAAGAATTAATTACATGTAACATATATCTTGAGATTCTTAAATATGATGTTTGTTTCAATTGGGAAAGTCAGGGTTTTGTATTCTTAACCTAAAAGAAAACAGATAGATGTCAGGAAGTTAACCTGATTTAGTTCTTAATTGTAATGTTTTCAGTTTACTTTAACTTTATAAAAAAAAAGTTATTTGTTTTAATTTAATAATAGTAAAAATTACAATGGTTAAGAATTAAAGTAATTTAAAAAATGAATTTACATAAAGCAAAAAGTGATTGCTAGGTGGTAATATGTGTTTTGTGGTTCATTATGGGCGAATCTGAGCACACAGGAAACAGGCACTTGCTTCTTCAAGTCACCCACTGCAACCCCACAAATTTAACGATATCCGTGTTTAATGATTTATCAAGATTTGGGGTTTCATTAGCTGGCTTTTCTTTGCAATCAGACGTTTTCTAACCTAAAAAACTATTCTAATTATCTATTCTTTCTTTGCTGCAACAGTGAAAGTCCAACCATACTCAACCCTAAAAAACCAACTAATAACATATGTAACATAACATTGCCAATTATGATATATATCTTGATGCCTTAACCAGGCGTGATCAAAATATGAATTTTGGTTTTATCAAATAGCAGCATTCAGCTAAAGTCAGGATTCCAAAGTTCAACATATCTATCTTCACTAGACCATTATCTTTCAACCCAAACATACACATCTTTCGAATTTCATATCATCCACTCATGTTTTTGAGTTTAATTTGAACACAAAAGTCAACTAGGTTATGAAGGAAATTAAAATGAGTATATGGAATCCACCAAAGTTTACAGTATTCACTTAAGTCACGAGGAAGGACCCTACAATTTAATAATTTGAAGGGAAACAACATCAAACATTCTACCTGCGTATTGTCAACATAATTAATCAAACTCCCACCCACAAGCTCACACCGTCACTAATTTACAAGCACAGTTGCCATTATAGCAGCTGCCTCCACACTCCAAGAGATTTCGCTGAGAATGTGAGTCCCATTTTCTATTTATTGACTTTTTCTCGTTACATAATAAGATGATAAATAAAATAATAATATAAGTAATAATTTATATATATAACAACTTAAAAAATATTTTATAATATAATTATTTTAACTTAAAAATATATATATTAAAAAGATCATACGTAAACCAGCTAATTCTGTCTCATCTTATAAACGTACAAGGTAGGAAGAACCTAAAATATCCAGTCAGAGCCACGCATTTTAATAACAAATTTTACTTGAATTTATAAATATGCAACAGATGCATTGTGCGGGTGAGATTATAACTGTATCGACGATTATTTCTTTTTGTTTTAGGTAATATCCTTTAACATTCTCGTACTTTTATCAAATACAATATTCATTTCTTTTCCTTTGGGAAGGACTTGGCTTTAATCCATTTTAATTTTACTTTTATATTTAATATTTTTATCACTTTTTTTCTAAAATCACGAACACCGTAAAGCTATTGCAAACAATAAAGCTCTCTTATATTTAATGCAACTGCATATCTAAAGAAAAATAAAATCAAAATTAGTCATTTCGGTACTGAATAGAAATACAATCCACTTAGAGACATTGACAGGCTTAAAAAATAAGTACGCGCTTAATCGATTTGGAGAGTTTATATAAGAGATTTTAATTGAAGACATATTTTTAGAATTATTAATTTATATTTGCTAAAGAAACGAAATGTTATTTGCAAACTGCAATCTTGAATTTAATTAAAAAAAAGTGTATATTTGATTTGTTTAGTTTTGAAAATATTGTTGGAAAATTAAATTGGATTTGGCGTTTGGGAGCGGAGTCATAAATCATGGTATGATGCCAGCTGTGGAACGCAGAGCATTCCATTCTCCATGCCCTAAACTTGTGAAATTAATTAGCGAGAACCTAATATGTAATTAATCTACCAAACTTTGGGACCTCGCTCTCACCATCACTCCACACTCCACACAGAGGCAACCATATTGAGGTTGAGGTTGGGTGAGTGTAGTAGAGAGTGCAGTGGTAGTACCTCCTCTCACTCCTCTCATTTCCCATTCTCACCACGCCAACTCATCCACGTCACCATATGTGACCACTCAGGATTGTATTTCATTTTTTGGTGGTAGGCAAAGGTTAATAATTACCGTACGACGACGAGCCTTTATTACAGCTGTAAACAATTCCACATCCCAACAAACAAACAGTACTCACCTAAACCCCAACCTGCTCACTCTGACTCATTTTATTGGGTCCAGCATGCCCTATCATTTGTACCACTCGGTTTACACTCCACACAAAAAATGGGGATATTTCATTGCCTCCACCTCAACCACAACCATGATTTCTTCTCCGTCTAATTATCGTCCATGTTCCTCCTCAATCAAATTATTGATATCTTTATCGAATTATATATAATGACCTCAACTGTCAACCTGCACCAATTGGATCCATATCAAAAGTCCAAAACCAGGAAAGAACATATTACATGCATAATTATATTTGTTTGTCCCATCTCTTTGGATTTTACCCTTTAACAAATGCCCCAGGATTGGATAAGGATAAGGCTAAGTTGGTTATGTTAGGATAGAGCCCTTACCAAAAGCTATAACTTTTAGTCATGCTCTTTTTACGTAAGAGTAGCCCATTCGGCCTTCGCCACATAACAATTAATGTTACTTGTAACAATCTCTCCCTCAGCAATTATTCTACGAGAAATCTCACTTGAATTGTGACTTGACCCACCTAGCCTGCGTCACGAGACAATTGTGCAACCCGCAACAATCTCCCCTTACAATTGTCCAACAGGAATCAAACTCGTAAGCTTGGTTCTGATACCAATTATTAGGATCGAACACTTATTACTATCCAAAAATTAGCAAATCTTTTTACTTACAAGTAATATCCTTCTGACTCGGCCCACGTCACACGATGCTACCTGCAACACGTGAACCCATTCAATCATAATTGCCTTTGCTTATTTAACCCTTTCTCACTTACCTATCCCAAATATATCTATTCCGTCGTTTTTCTCGTCTCACCTTCCTTCTCAAATTCCTTCTCTCATCCTATAATCTCAACTCATTCTTGCTTTTCTGTTTTTTATGCTGTCCACTACCACCTCCTACTTTTCTCACAACAACGCCCAATCCTTATCTTGGTTGCATAGTATTTAAATGAAAATATATGCAATTGTGTATAAGGCTATTTATTAATCCACTAATGTCCCACTGTTCACACCCATGTCATATATACCAATTTCTGAAATAATGGCTTAGATCTAAGTTTGTCAACACAAAGTATAATTCAAACCAATTACTCAAATTTTCTATTAGGGTTTCAGACCATGTCAATAAATAAATATCTTTCATGACCCAGATAATTTGATGTCGTAAGAATGAAAATGTCTAAGAACTCATATTTTCATGCTGAAAGTTACGATTTTGTGGTCAAAACTTAAAAAAAGGGAACTCGTGTCAATAATAGAACGGAATATGAATGGATATTTAATATCCATTACGACTTCTCTCCAAGAATGTAATAGTTTCCATTGATCCCTAAACCATCTCTACGATATCCAAAATTTTATATTACTTTTTTTCTCCTTTTTGATAAAGGTATTATGTACAAAGGAACAAAATCACCGGCGTATATATTTTCTACCGAAACTACCCCTACTCCGGAATGGAAGTCAACAACGCTGCAAACCTCCCCTTTCCGGCTCCGGCGATGGCCCTTCCTCTCCTATGTACAGTACCGGCGCCGACAGCGAGTGCGGGAGACACGCGCTTAGGGTTAGAGTCATGTTCGTTAGAGAACAAAGTCTGTTTGCGGCGAGAGCCGCATTTATCGGCGGTTTTCATTAGCGCGGAGCTGGCCTTGACGGCCAATGCAGCCATCTCGTGAGGCTGCAAGCGGTGATTCAAGCGACTCAAGGGAAGGGCAAAATAGAGCTGACCGGGTTGCAGCACTTGGTCCTCGTCGATGGCCGAAACGACGTCGTCGAAGTCCATTTCGTCGGAGTTGCATATGAAGCACGCGGGATACTTCTGCAACAGGAACGATACCTTAACCGGGTATGAGAACTCCTGCAACTTGCCGTCGTGCAGAATAAGCTTGGCCGTGGCAACCTGGGTTGAATCGGAGGAGTTGCAGTTTCCCATTGGTTTGACCGAGTGAGCCCGGTGGGTGTGAGTGGGTGAAAGCGGGATCGGAACGAGGAGGAATCGTTGTAATTAGTATTTTGGAGAATGAAGAAAAAGGGGAAAGAATATATATAGGAAGCGAAATGGAGTACTTTGCCACGTCGGATTTTGTTTTAATTTAAAAATGATGTAATTCTTGAACAGTGGGAATGGCTTTCCAGGCTGTAAGTTGGTGTTGACAGGTTGTAGTACTTGCTCGCATTAGTGTGCCAAACTGACCCTATTCACCGGATCGTATACATATTTACCACCCATGCCACTGCGTTTCTTTTGCCTTAGTTTTGATTGCAGCAAGTAGAATAAAACTTGTTCAATGAACCACAATACGAAATCTAACACGTGAAAATAAATCTCTGGCTCTCTCGCTATAGTCGCTATGTGCATTATGAGCACTTTATTTCATAATGACGATGTTGAGATATTTGCCAGACCGACTTTAGTGTTCTTTCTGTTTTTCTTTTTTATTAAATCGTGAAATGTGAGAGATCCCGGTTTTGGCGATTTCACGTTGAAAATTAGACAAGAGTTAGGGCAATATTAATGCTACCATATGAAAGACCAGTTCTGCTTCTCCTCTCCTCTCCTCTGCTGTTGATTCCAGACCCATCATCGCTGATCAAGTTACATACTATCAACTGTTGTGTCATTTATTTGTGCAACAAGAGACGAAAGTGGCACTGTGCTGCATGATGAAGTTGGAGTATAATTGGGGAGGGGCAATAACACAAATACCCAAGTGTGAGGAGATTGGCTTCAGAAGAAGACGTGGCAGGTGGAGAAGTGTCTGGTGCCTCGGTGCAAGGCAGCTAGGAAGCCACGTGGAGAAAAACACATTGGGAGTCGTAAATCAGACAAATAAAACGATACTAACAATAATTGATAAAGTGTAACATAAACAAAATAAAAATAAAAATTTATGATGAATAATAAAATAAGATTGTAGGAGCAGAAACACTCCGACAGAAGCTGGCGTAAGGTGATCTGGGTTGAACCCCCAGGCCCCAACCCCCTGCAAACCAGAACCCATTCCTGCTGCTACTTTGCTTCTTTCTCAGCATCTAATATATTTTTTTATGTGTCAAAACAAATTCTCTCACTATTCTTTCGTTATTATTAATTTATTATTTTTCTATTCTCCAATACTGACACCAAACATGCTACAGGGAGTAAGAACCACACCAACCTTCATTCATTTTCTTCACTATTTCTTCAATGTTATGCTTAATCTAATCAAGAAATTCTTCACAATGAAGTAAAGGGAAAGTACAGTGGTGCCCCCTTTTATGTGGTTCTCGGTGGGGATCTAAAGTGAAGTGATCTTTTTTCAATGTATGTAAGTAAATTGGAGGTCCATGATGTTGTTCAAAAGGACTTGTCTTTCTCTTCCTTATAATATTTGGTTGTTATGTTAATAATAATGGTCGTGACATGACCCACCCTTCAAACAAAACCATTGCATGAAGCTTCTTCACTAATTCCCTTCCCCACTCAATCATACCCTGTATTGCGAAACAAGGTCCACCTCGATATACTTTTCTTTTTAGTTTTTCCAAGTCATATTCCTTTTACACCTTTTTCACAACGCGTCACTACAGGCCAAATGCAAAACTGTGATCCCATGTTAAATTCATTCATTTATTAGGTTTGTAGATTTTGTTTCAATATTTTAAGATGTGTGCTCATAATTACAATACTTTTTAAAATATATTTTTCACTCTCTTTATTAAAAATATTCTTTCTTTTATCAAAAGGTAGTGAGATATTCGTTTCAATATTTTACTCTTAAAAAAATCTCATTATTAATGCATTTAGGTATATTTTTAATAAAAAAATACCTTTGGATAAGCAACAATTTTATAGATTTTTAATTTTGTATTAACTTTTGTCAAAATTTATTTATATGATAAGCTTTGTATGGATTAATTAATAAAAAACTGATTGATGGTTGGAATTTCATTTATTATAATAAATATTTGATTTAGTAGTAATAATTATTTATTATTAATAAATATTTTGTTGAATGATAATCCACCAATTCTTAGTTTTATCACGATTTTATAATTATTTAAGAGGTTGAAGTGGTGATTTGATGAAATTATTATGCTTAATTTAAATACGAAACACAGTAAAGATTTACAGAAAAATGTATTCTAACATTCAAGAACTACACTACTATTGAGAGAGTATGAATATATGAACATTTTGCTTATTGCGTGTTGGTAAAATTGTTAATTGACTCACGTAATTTCTAAATTTGACATTTCTAATGTTTTAATGCATTGAATGTAACCTTTTATTTAAGGGGAGGATTAAAATACACCAAGAATTAGACATTGATGCTAAACTTTTAATGGAATTTCCTCTTATCTATTGTATTTTCTTTTATCTTCCAAAATGTTTAATGAGTTCATTACGTTATGGAGTGATGAATTCTGATATGAATATCTTTTGCAATTTGAATTCTCTTACAATCTTAAGTTTCAGACTATCCATAGTAAAATTTGTCAGAGAAGGTTATCAAAACTTTCTTGTGTGAGAAATTATTACATGATTGACTATATATGCGAGTAATCAATATATATATTTATAAAATTTATAACTATAATTTCGGACAGTTTATAAAATTTGACTATGTAGAAACTAATTAAAATTATATTGAGAAATATTTAATTTCGCTTTATAAAATTGATTTGTAAGATAAAATTTTCACCTAAATTATATATTATTTCTCTTCAACTAATATTGTTTAAAAGTAGAAAACAATCAATGAGATTTTTTTGTTTGGATAAATTTTTACTGATAATAAATAACGTCTTCCACAAAAAATGTATTGTATTATTCATATGTTTCGAGCTTGTTTCTATTTTTATGTTTCAATGATTTGATAAGGAAGATTGATGTTGTGTTATTTTTCACAATTGAAAAGTTGGTGTATATTAGATATTAAACAACTTATTAAATTAAATTAAATTATTTATTATTATTCAAAATATCACAATTTGAATTTAAAGAGACTTTGTTTTTGTTTCCTCTAAAAGTGGATTGCTCCAATGTCTATGAATTAGAAATAATAGATTTAATTTTTCTTTTCAGTTTAATTGAATACTTAGCATTAAGGTAGTCAATTATGAAAAAAAAATATACAAGTGAAAATTTGAATTTCACATAATGAATTATCATATAATCATAATAAATTTAGATTGATGTTGAACACTTGTGAAACTGATTATTTCAAAGTTAATAAACTTTATAAAAAAGTTATAACCAATTATTGAAAAGACATAATTAGTTTTGTTTGGAACACAATTGATTATGTTGGAATTTACAGTACTTATAGTTTTGTTAAATTATAACAATTTATTTTTATAAAAAATTAACAATTAATGATATTTTTTTATAATCATTTACTATTAAATTTTTGTGTGAATATTTTTTTAAATTGAAAAAAAAAACAGTTATATAAATATTTTTTCTAATTTTAAATAATATGTGTGTGTGTGTGATTACTAAAAAGTAGACATTGGAGGAAAATCTATCTGCAGTGTTCCTTAAGTTTTCCTTAAGTTTGAAGGTTTAATTGTGGCACGTTTCAGGCATGAATTAATAATGGTGGGGGAGGGAGAAGGAGAATCAATAGCCACTCAAATTATAAAAGGACAAATGGTAGAGCCCCATATTTATAGATACTACCTACCTCAATTATTTATTAAAATTATTATTTTCTAAAAAATATATCATTAAAAAAAAAAATTTGACAGCGTAATTATTGCTTTTGAAAATGGGAACTGTTATATTTAGATTTTATAGGCACCAAATTTCAAAATTTATATAGATTATTTGAATTTTATCCTTATATTGGTGGCGGTGGATGCATTCTAAAAACAACAGCATTGTCTTGGTCCATTTTTATGACTTTCCTTTTGAATGTTTTAAACCCAAAGTTGAATGCAACTAAGTAATATATTGAAAACTGGGTCACATACACACAATTTAGGTTTCTTATGTTAGGGTTTGATAAATGTCCCCTTTTAGAAATCCTTGTAATATGATTAATGTTGAATTTAACTCATGCTTTCCATCAAGGGTTCACTTCTTTATCTAACGGGTTCATGATTCAACTATAAATTTGGAAAACTTGGTGGTTTGATTAGAGATGGAATCCCTCACAATGTATGCTATAAATTTAGGAAATGTTTCCCATAAATAAGAAAATGTGTTTTTCTTTATATCTATATAAATTCAGCAATTAAGGAACTGAGATGTTGAGTTGGTTCAACAGATTAACCTGTCAATGACTAAACTTTAATTAATTAGTAGATTGATTGTTAATGAAGGTTGAGTTATGTGCTATTAGTAAAGACGGAATTTATAGTGAATGATGTTTTCATTTTTTCTAGAAAATATGTAAAAACAATATATTTTAAATCCTTCAATTGTTTTTGTTGGTTCAAATCATCATAAATTCAACTTAAAAAAATAAATAAATCTAATATTACTTATAATAACATAACATGTATTTAAACATCTCAATCCAATGACTAATATATTTTTCGTTACCTATAATTGAAAAAAAAGCATAAAACTATAAATGTGTGGCTTTGAAATTTTAATTAGTGAAGCATTTTAACAGTGATTTGATTAATATCATCAGCTAAATTATGATTCATCGAAATAAAACTTTTTCTACTTTATGAGAATATTTTTACACATTTTTATAAACATTTATCAAAAACAACTTTTTACAAGAAATTTTATAAAAAACAACTAAAATTAATAGTAAGTAAAATTACGAGAGGACAAATAACGTAATATTTCCAGCAAGGGTTTTTATTTTTTAGGAAATGTTATTTTTGTTGAGAATACAAGGGATGCCTGACGAGTTAAAAATTAGTTAAGAAAAAAAGATTTAAAATAGTTTAATCACTGTTTTTTAAATAGTTTCCAATTTTTAAAATTTTAAGATTTTAAAAAAATCATGACATTTTCTGTTTTTATTAATTATGTAGGTATATTACCTCGTTTGTATGAAATTGCTAAAATTGTGCTTTGACTTCTCATAAATTATTATTTTTTGTTTAAAATAGTTTTTTAAATGAAATTATCAATTATTTTTTTAAATTGATTATTAAAACTGTTTTTTTAATCAATAAAAAATTTCCTTTTTTTATTTTTTTCTTGAAAATGTTTACTTTTGAGGAAATGATAAATTTTTGTTCTTTTTCGAAAAATACAAGGAATGAGTAAAGAGATAAAACATTAGTTAAGAAAACAATAAACGTGTATTAATAGTCTCGAATTTAATCTTTTAAAATGATATCTACGAACAAACAAAAATATGTGTTAAAACATCATAAAATGGAGGTCAACGTAATTTTCTTTTATTGCTCTGTCGAAATATATTTGATAACAGCATCGAATAATCTGGTTTTGTTTTGTGCTTTCGTTTATGTTGCGACGGTGTTGTTTTCAAAGGGGATGAGTAGAAATATTTAACATTATTAGTTAATGATGGATGGATACAAGTACTTTTGTATGGATTGGTCATGTGCGCACGATGCATTGAATGCAGGAATATAATGCATGGATTCGCAGACATCATATCGATGGGATGTTGGGGCAATTGTACTCATCTTGTACTCTCCAATTGACCATTCTAAAAAGTCTCCTATATTTTGAGAGGCCAAAAAGTGTTGAATATGAGGAAGTTTCTTGGCCACGACCATGCTCAATTTTATAATCAAATATCAGATTCGACCAAAAGAAACAAAAAAGGCATATCAAAATTGTCATTATGTCATGGGACTTGAAATTCTAATAGACTGACACAACAAAGATTAGTGTTGCTGTTAAGGGTATGCTTTTAAGTCTAAATACAAAACACTCCATATTATATAATGCTTTAGTGTGCTGTTGCCGACATTTGGAGTTGATTATATGCTTTGCCAACACTTGTGTGCTTCCAAATCCAATTAATTTGGTCATGGTACATGAATATACTGCAATATTATTATATGCACTTTGGTAGTG